AATTCTAAAACACAGAAGTCAGCACTGAAATCACGTCAGGGAAATGTGTGTGTGCGTGTACATGTGTGTGCATACGCAGTACTATCTGTAATGCTGCACATGTCACTAGTCTTACATGTTTGAAAGGATAATTTGCTTACAAATGCAGTATTTGAAAGCCTTTCAGAATGATTCAGAGTTTAGTAACTAAGACATTTGTAAAAATCAATTCTATTTATTCATTTTTTGACAAATAAAATCAGTGTACAAGGTATACGAGAGTGTCCATTTACATGAGTATATCCCTTCTAGAACTCGTCAAAAGTGAAAAGTTTATTATCTACAGCACCTGGCAGACAAAGTCTGCACACTTGATAAGAGAATCCGAACCTGCATCATGGTTCAAGTACGCTTTCGCATGTGGGGGTGGCAGGGATAACGTGACATTGGCATGAACATGGCAGCATGAACCAGGCAGCTTCCTGGTGCTCATGGGGTGTACGAAGCAGTCTGAGAGAGTCTAACAACACACGCCTATCAGATTAAACAAGGTAGTCTTGTGCTTTTCCACACAATCACCCTCAGATTGCTGCCTACACTGAGGAGGAAGCACCAGCCTCTCCCACGGGAACAGCCTCCAAGTTAGTAAAACAAAACAGAAAAACTGTTCAGCAAGGCATTGGCATGGCTATTTTGGTTGCCAACTTGACTACATCTGGAATAATTAAAACCCCAAAATGCTGGGCACACCTGTGAGGGATTTTGCTGAATTAATCCATCTGAAGTGGGAAGATCCAGCTCTACTTTGCTGGGAAGCCACAACTCTAATCCAGATCTTTTGAGGGGAAGACATGCCTTCTGCTGGCAGCCTGTTTAGAGGGCATGGAAGAAGGAAGTTTGCTTTTTACCTACTTGCCCTTGCCCTTGCTAGCAAGACGATTCCTTCACTGGCGTAGAGCCTACTTAGTCAGGATTCCAGCACACTGAAGACCAGCGCAGACATCCAGCTTCCTGGACCGAGCAACTGCAGATACTTGGGCCTTCCATAAGCCACTCTACTAAATCTCATACATTCATTCTATTAAGTTCTGTTAATCTAGAGAACCCTGGCTAATATAGCTATGGAACATGAAATCAATCAATGCACATTTGATACACATGAATGAAACACAATCACAATAATTCTGTCACAACAGCTTGAAAACAGAACAATACTTGGGAAGTACCGGAACAAAAGGACCGAGGAACTAACTCAGCGATGTCATCAGAGTGAAGACACAAGGGATAAGATTTGAAAGAATGAAAGGCAGCCTGTCTTCACAGACTGGAAGGCTCGACGCTGTTGGGATGGTACCCTCTGCGATGTGGTTTACAGAATCCAGACAAACGGGAACCACAGCTGATTTCCTTATAGGAACCAACATACTGTCTCTGAATTATCACCTCATTATCATATCTAAAAATTAATACAAGGTGGACATCCAAAACCCAAAGATTAGGGCAAAAACCTATAAACAGCAACACGGGAGCAAGTATTTATGACATTCTTTTACAAAATGCGTGTAGTTCATATGTGTGCAGGTGTCAGTATGTGTGGGTATAAGGATGCGTGTGAGTGCGTTTGTCTGCATGCATTTGGACAGGCATGAGTAAGTACGTGCACCTGTGTTTGGAAGTCAGAGGGCGATCTCGGGCCTTTTTCCTCAGGAGCTGCTTTCACTTAGGCTAGGAAGGCTGGCCAGAGACCTCCAAGATCTGCCCACCCTCACCGCCCCCACACTGTTGATTAGAAGCAGGAGGCACCACACATGGCCTTTTACGCAGGTTCTGGCATCATGTATGTGTGACACTTTACCGACTGAGCAATCTCTCCAGCCCCAGCACAAAGTGTGTGTGTGTGTGTGTTTTAATAAAATACCGTAACAGCTTGTGATACTTTAAATACCCTAAGAGGTAGGTAGTGGTAATACACTGTGGTACTGAGTAATTTTAAAGGGTAAAATAAAGAAAATGAAGATGAACGTCAAGAGTTTAATTCCTGTTATTAATGAGAAAATCTATTAAATAAAAACCACCAGTTCAAAGGAGAGTTAAACAACAGACGCATGCATGGTCAGGGCTGATGAAAAGAATCTGCTAATAGATGGGAAACAGTCCAGTTACACACGATGGCAACCCATCTTGTTCATACAGAACGAGATGCTGCTGACTTATACGAATAGGAATCAAGTACTTCATGGTCAGCAGTTATAACTCAAAGTGCCCAGAACTGCAAAATAACCAAAATCAAGAGAACAGGCTAAATGTCTATAGAACCAGCTTGTCCAGATGAGGCTTCATCACCCACTGAAGGATATCTTCATACATATTCTTAAGGCCAGATATTCCAGCACACTCAAAGGATGTTTCTGTCCATTTTGAAGACTTCTCAAAGTCTTCATGGTGAGGAGTGGTATGTCTGCATATGGTTTGGCAAGTGAAGTTCCTCTGTTATCTGATCTACTAGCTTTAACCCATTCTGACACGCAAAATTTCATTACATTTTTCTTTTTCAAACATTTGTTGATGGGAGATGTCATTCTGTAAATATGTTTCTCATACTGGTTAATGAATAAAGCACTGTTGGCCAATAGGAAAGCAAGATAGGCGGGACTAGGAGACAAGGAGGAAAGAGGAAGTAGTAAGAAGGAGTCAAGATGGAGAGTCTGGAGAGAGCAGGATGCCAGCCGGCTCTCCGGTAAGACCACGTGGGAATATTAGATTAACAGAAATGGGTTAATACTTAAGACAGAGCTAGCCAATAAGAAACTAGTACCTGGCCAACAACATTATATCAAATACAGAGTCTCTGTGTGTTATTTGGGGCTGGCGCGGCGGCAGGACAAGACCGGCCAGGCTGGCAGAAAAACTTTACTCCTTACAATTTGTTATTTATTTTTTTCTTTCTTTTACTGAAAATGGATTTATTTACTTGTTTGTTTATTTACAGAAAACACAGCCTACTATGACTATGGTTACCTTCCTCCAACCCTCGCAGTTGCTTCCCCCATCAGAAGAAGCTACACCCTTTTTAGGAAGTTTGACAACCACTGTCCTTGTAGGTGGGAGATTTGGGAAGACCGAGGTTGTTTTGGGAAACATTTATTGGAAACATTTATGATGGTACGTGGATCACAACACACGATGGAATAGAGTATTGAGAGTATAGAAAGGAGCAGGCTGCAAGGAGGCAGAGGTCAGTGTGCTGGGTCTTTAGAGGGGTAGTGCTCAAGGAGTGATGGTTAGGTAGGGCTTTATGAGTAGAAGAGCCAGAGTACCAGGACATCCAGCCTGACACTAGTCTGTTAGTCCAGTCTGGCTCCGAGCTAGTGGCAACCATCCTGCCTCAGACACCTGAATGCTAGGGATCACAGATGTGCCCTCCACCATACCCAGCAGGTTTTCATTTATTATCATACAGATGTGCAGAAAACAAGTATTTGAGAACTCAAAGGAACCTATAACTGAGCAATCGAATAACGGCATATTGCATTACACCCTTCTCAGAGAACACTGTTCTTCAGAGTTGGCGTGTACGCGGTGCTGTGGGAACCAGAGGATGAAAGGTATTCTGAAGAGCTCAGGGGAACTGGGACCCGTGATTCCCATTAACATCGGGACTAGGATGCTGGGCTACAGAACCTTTCGCCCGTCTGTCTTTTGGCTTGGCGTTTTATCCCTCCCTGGCGCCAGCCATGGGAAATGTGGTCACCCCTAGATCTAGCAGAGAGCTTACTGCTGTCTACTTTCAGATCCCTATACGTAGTGAGAAATATAGGAACTAAAACAGTTGATTTGGGTTGCAAGGTTTTCAAAAGACTTCTAATGGGAGCTCGTGTCAGTGTTGGCTGAACAGCTTCAAAGCCAGCACGCTTAGGTGCAGGGAGGGGCCTGCTCTCTTTTCAAACTGCCACAGCTCTGGATGTGTTTCAAAGAAGTTCCAGTTTCCCTAATTGTTTCACCACTGGCTCATAGAAAGGACTTAAAATAATCTTTTCATCTTCAAACCATTCCAATGGTAAACACGTTAGAAGGGAATGGCATGGTTGTACATACTTCCCGTACAACCTGACATAGATTGTGGTTAATCATGGCTGACAGACGCCACATCTGGCAGGTTTTCTTTGTCATTTACTTTTTCTTTCTTTTCTTTTCTGTTTTGAAGGACGCATCCACATTTATCGAATAAACAGATCCCATAGTCTGTCAGTAAGTTTTTGACTAGCTCATAATTTTTGGAAAGCATTTAAATATTTAATAACAGAAGCTAAGCTGTGAGAGCTCAGAGGTTTGGCTATGAAGGGCACTCGCAAGTTCAGAACTTTAGCTACTCCTAAAAAGTAAAGCATAGTTCCTGTACATAACGTGACGCTCCCGGACGTCGCAGACGAGGCACCGAGAGGCATAAAGACAAGAGAAAAAAACCGACTTCATCGGAATTAATTAAGCGGGTTAAGTTTTAGGAAATGGAAATACAAGCCGAGAATTCTAAGGAAACCTCTGTAAGCCACATATCTGACGAAGGACTCATAAGTAGAGCCTGTAAAGGACTCGTTCCCAGGCCAAAGGGGACATCTGGGCTAGTAGAGGAGCAAGGACGTTGATATATCTTTCCTCCAAGGAGATATACAAATGTTCCGTATAGCTCATGGAAGAGATGCTGGCTCATCATAAGCCGCCAAGAAAACAAGTCAACATTAGGGGTACACCTCCTAAGGCTCCAAGCAACACAACACAGCAGGAAATGAAAAGCATAAATGGCTCAGATGGTGGCGGTGGGAACAGCCTGTCAGTTCATACTTGGGTTACTTACGTGAGCATCGAAGGCCCTGAGGATGAAGCCGGCTAGTTGTGGGGCAGATGCCCGCGAACAGGAGGCTGGCCCAGAGCCTTGTGTTTTCAAAGCCATGTCTGGCTAAAAACAAACACCCTCTCACAAATGGAAAAAGGAAGCCCTCCCTTTCTAGAAGGGTTCTACTCACTGAGGTTCCATCTCAGGCCAGTTGTCGTCACCTTTTCGCAATGCTGTCCGACAGGAATTAGGCCACACCAGCTGCCCTCCATTCCAGTGTCTACACGGAGCCTGTGCTTTCCCTGAAGGAGAAGAGCAAGCATGAAGAAGGGGGCTTGCCAGCAGCTGGCTACCACAATGCCAAACACAAATCAACTTAGCACGTATTTTACGCCTGAGAACTCACTAACGCTGATTAGGTCCTAAGTTCGTTTCTGTACCAGCTTACTTTAACTATCAGTTTCGCAGTTGTTAGCAAATCTGTTAAATATATGCATGCCGAGCCACACAGATAGAGTAGCATTCCTTACGCCTGTCCATTGTAAAGATGCTATCCATTGCACCTGCTGAAGATGAAGCCTTTCGTGACACTTGAGTTCCAGGCTCAAAAGCAAACAAACATTTGACTGACTGTATATGCAGGATCGCTTCCTAAGTAGTATCTTTACTTATCCGCGAGAGTCAGGTTTCTGACATTCAAAGTTCAATGTAAGCACTGTAAGGGGTTGCCTGTTCTCCGGTGGCCATCACTGGGATCCTCACATGGACACAGAGGTGGGCTGGTGAGTTTGTGTCAACCTGAGACAAACTGGAGTCACTGGAGGGAACCTCAACAGAGGAACCATGTCCATCCGACTGATTGGGCTGTGGGTGTGTATCTGGGGGAATCTTCTTGATTAGTAATTACGTGGGAGGGCTCACCCCACCGTGGGTAGTGTCACCCCTGGGCAAGTGGTCCTGGGCTCAATAAGAATGCACGATGAGCAAGTAATTCCTGGAGCACAAGCCAGCAAGCAGCATCCCCCCGTGGCCCGTTTCAGTTCCTGCCTTCAGCTTCCCTTCAATGAAGTCTGTAAACTGTAAGCCAAATAAGCCCTTCTGCCCCAAGCTGGTTTAGGTTAGTGTTTTATCACAGCCACAGAAAGCACTAAAACAACGAGGGGGGGGGTGAGCGGTGGCGTTTTATTTCAATATTCAATCAGAAAAGGCCTAAATATAATCAAACATTATTTTAAAGGGCAATACACTTTGAACTGGGTGTCTTCCTGTGGAGAGAAAAGATGAGCAGCCGTGCAAGGAGATAGCAGGTAATCAGAAGCGCGGGTTGATTGTGCTGCAGATAACTCGCCTGTGTGGCAGAAATGAGTCTGCAGGATGAGATGCACGCGAAGGAACCTCTGGATCATTGATCCAGTGGGAGGGCTCAGCCTACTGTGTGGGTGGTACTGCCTCTGGGCAAGTGGCCCTGGGTTGTATACGAACACGGTTTGCTCATTTCTGGACTTCCATGCACGCATCAGAGACAAGTCTCTACATAAACACTTGAGGGGACAGGAATGAGTCAACACTAGTTCCTCGGTTGTTAAAAAGGAACCGCGTGAAGGCGGGGTTAGCAGCACACTGCAGGCAGTACAGGGGTGTGCACGGGGTGGGGATTGTATACAATCTGCTTAATGCTCTCAACCATAACCCTACACGAAAGAAAGTGTTAAGTTTCCAAAATGCCTTAGAGCAACCCTTCAGATCTCCCCTCATCAGGACTGAGGGCAGGTCTGAAACTAGGTGAGCAGAGCCGCCCAAAAGGAACAGGAGTCACATCTCAACGGCCATTACATCTGGTTCTGGCTTTACCTCCAAAGGCCTTTAACTTTCTGCAAGGCCTGGGATGTCTTTATTGGTTTGTACCATTTCCGTTAATGTGATTAAGATTGGCTAGTTTACCACATGCTTGGTCTTTCCCTCCCTCCTATTCTCCAGAGCAAAATAATTCTCTATAAAGATATGTATATAGTCAAAGTACAATACAAATGGACACCCTGAATGCCACACTATCGTGGAAAAACAGATAGGCTGAATAGATGTCTATTCAGGGAGAAATAACTTACAACAGAGACAGATGAACACCAGCAGGTTCCCGTCCCAAGGATGCCTCCGGATACTCTCTTTCTCAGTCCAGCAAGCAAGCCAGAGTGCTGGGGATCCTACCTCAGACCTAGTTCCCCCAGGCACCTGTCTCCACCCCCAATGGGCATGGTCAGTGCAACAGGTGTGGACAGAGTGGACAGCTCACTCCACCACACCCTGCGCATTTCTAACAAATCCTGGAAGAGGTGAAGATGTTTATTTTATAATAATTGCAGCTGTCAGCAGAAGGGGTGGCAGACATTCGTTTGCCTTCGGAGGGAAGTGATCTGATGGCCTTTCACGAAGGTAGAGCCTGGCTCAGTTTCCTGTTTGAGGCTGCAATTCCAGGGCCCCGTGAGAGTAAAGCCACACTGTCAGCGGGACCGCAGTTAAGTTGCGACCTTCTAGCACACAGTAGTAGATACAGGACTCAAGGATGCTGGAAGAGAGGGTTGGAGTCTGCATGGAGGCCCTGACCTTTGAGCCCCCTAGCATTTCGGACAATGAGGGTGGCTTCCCACGGCTTGTCAAGGTGGGGTTCCCACATTAAGGGTGGGCCTTATTTTCAATGTGTTTATGTTCACCCTCGCTTTTAATGACTCTTCTTCCTTGTTTCTGAACTGCTTTATGTTTTGGTAGAAGCCAGATAAATACACTTCTGGTGTTCTGGAAAACTGGTGAAGAACGATGAATGGAAGAAGACAGTTTTTCAAGCGGTGGAAGTTAACTCCCCGAGGGAAGATCCTTCAGCTCCCAACATATACTGCAAGGAAACAGTACCTATGCTTGCAAAGGTTTATTGTCCTGGGGAGAGAAGCAGTATTGCAACATTGCTGATTTAAGCGGCATGCAGGGAGGCCCACCTCCCTGGGCTTTGTGAGGCATCCACTGCCTTTCCTGCTATTCTTAGCACCAAGCAAGGCACCTTAACACTTTCGTTTTGGGAATAAACTAGTTTGGGGACTCAGGAAGTCACAGATAGGTCTCACACTACCATCAACTGGCATTTGGTCTTTCGCTTTAAAAGTGTGTTTTGCCACATGTGAAGGGCCTTGGTGTTGATAAATATGCAAATGTAGCTTCGTGGCTAAAGGAGAGCAGCCTCACGCTTTCATCCTCTATCGGCACGCCAATGTGACATCTTTAAAAAATAAATGACTGGGTAAAGGGAGTTTTTGTTCGTTTCCTAGATTTCTCAGTTTATAATATATGCTAGTCTATATGAGGTTTGACAGAGGCAGGCATCCAGCCTGACTTAAAGAACCCCTGCGGGATTTATGGCATCGCTGAAGACCAGAGGCACATGAACTAATCATTCACTTCCATACACTCCCATGAATCACTACCGCGGTCCCTGCTCCATCCCCTGTTCGCAGCTAAGATAACTCTTTGAAGTCAAAAGCAGTTTTATACAGCGAAGAAGGGACAGAAATCAATCATGGTTTGCCTTTTCAGCTGCAGTTACTTGAACATATGTGGCGAACTTAATGTGGTTGAAACTATAATCGAGTGAGAGGCAGCAAGGATGTTGCATGGCATTGTGTACTGGAAATCATGCTTGAGATCATGCTAAGGGCACACAGTATCAGGTGATCAGTTTCGCTAGACTATGATTCTAAGCTAGAGCAAAACACACACACACAAACACACACACACACACACACACACACACACACACACACACACAGAGTTCCCTATTGAGGTCTAAGAGACCATTCCCATTACATGTTGTACTGTGTTTCTTTACTGAAAAGGAGGAAGGCATAATTGAAAGAAACTATTAAACTCACCCTAGATTTTGTCATCTAAAAGTACCAAATATGAAGCCATCTTAATTCAGTTTACATTTCTAAGTCCTCACATTTAGCAAGTGTGTCAACATTTGTACGGAAAAAAAAATGTTTTACAATATCTTAGTATGAGCCTTACAAAATGCAAATGCATAGCAAATTGACAAGGTCACAACACTCTGGAATCTGGGAAGAGCAGAATGACCTTTCTAGTTGATCTGGAAGATTCCAGGAGCAGGTCAGGCTGACAAAGCAGTCGTTCATTAAATTTCTATTAATGCTCAGAACACACCCTTTGTTCACTGCTGTATACACTGCAACTAAACCAGATACCTGGAGTGAACGGAACACTCCTGCACACGGCTCAAACAGGTCACCAACCTCTAGCTTGTCATGTCTTTTGACATTCTGTCCAGGTACTTTAAACTGTATTAGCAAATACTGTAAGGAAGTAAATAGCCTGCAGGAAAAACTTCAATAAGAAGATAAAAGGACCCGAACTGTGTGCACCAGGAGAAGCTGCTGCTCTATGAACAGCTCTATGCCTGGGCTAGTATATCTTCATAATGACAGTGATCACGCAATAGAAAGCAGCCACACAACAAATGGGCCACCAAAACACACACACACACACACACACACACACACACACACACACACAGAGTCACATATACTGTATATAACGTTGACATTTTGGTTTAATATTTCTACCGCCAGAACATTTTAGAGATATGCTTTCAAACTGACAACCTATATTTGGTTTTTGGTCTGGAAATTATTTGGTAAAGTCAGGTTGGCATTATGTGTCTTCTGAAATGAATTAACCTTACTCTCTAGTTGAACAGTTAATACTAAATGATTAAAAAATAAGAAAAGAAAAAAAAAAGAGCACCTTCTTGTGGGTGGAGGGGAAGGGAGGAGAAGAGGGAGGGGAAACTGTGGTTGGTATGTAAAATAATTAAAAAGGCAAATATATTTGCTTATCAATTAATTTACTTTATTATTCAAAATTAAAAAAATGATTGTGAAACAATTGGAATTCTACAAGGGTAGGCTCCTTCCCCTACTAGCTCCCTACATCTAGACGATTTCAAAACTCAAACTGATGAGATCAACAAGCCTTTTACTTTCCCTCACACCAGCATTTTTGCTAGTTTACATGTCCTACCTCATCTCAATGCTTCCCTTTAACTGGAATCAGAGGAAAGAACCTGCTAATGCTGCCACACTAATGTGTTGAGAGCTTTTTCTTCACTGTTCCAAAGGTACTGTATTTTAAGCACTGACTCCTAAGAATACTTATTCTAGGAGTAAACTGTGGAGACGGGATGAGCTACAAGGAAGGGCGTTATGAGCCTGTGTGTGGGCTACCTTTCCAAATGTCCTTC